AATAGAAAAAGGAGGAGCAAATTAAGGCCAAAATAAAGAGAAAAAAAGAATGAAATAAAAGTATAATCAGTAAAATAGGATACAGTAAAATAATAGAGAAAATCAATGAAAACAACAGCATGTCCTTTGAGAGGATAAATAAAATTGACAAACTTCTAGTCATATAGATCAGGAAAAAAAGAGAGACATAAATTATAAATACCAGGAATAAAAGAGATTTTATTATTACAGATTGAACAATATTAAAAGGATAATGAGGGAATATTATGAACTTTATACCCATAATTTTGACAACTTATATAAAATGGAAAAATTTCTTGAAAGACCTGAATTACCAAAGCTCATTCAAGAAGAACAGGTAACTTGAAAAACCGTATGAATCTATTAAACAAATTTAATTTGTAGTTAAACACTTTCCCACAAAGAAAACTCCAGGCCTAAATGACTTCACTGGTGAATACTATGAAAAACTTAGAGACGAAATAATACCAACTCTACACAAACTCGCTCAGAACATTGAAAATGAGAAAATACTTCCCAACTCATTCAATGAGGCCAGCATTAGCCTGATGCCAAAATGAGAGAAAGACATCAAAAGAAAAGAAAATCAAACAATAACCCTTATGAGCATAAAAGCAAAAATCCTAATCAAAATTTTAACAAATTGAATCCAATAATCTATTTTAAAAAATGATAATACATCATGACAAGTGGGTTCTCTCCCAGGGTTTAATGTCAGAAAACCAATCAGTGTGATTTACCATTATTAACAAAATAACAACAAAAAAAACCCAAAAAACAAACATATTTTATTAATAGACACAGACAAAGCATTTCACAATATCCCACATCACAAGCCCTTCTCCGCATCCCATAACCTCTTCTCCAAGTAAAGCAGGCCCATGATGCTCACCACCAACGTTAACCAGTGAAGGGGTAGATTAAAACGTCCGCATAAAGAAAGCAAACCGAAGCATGTGCCGTTGAGTGTTTATCTTTTAAACCAGAAAAATGCACTAAGCAAGGCAAGCACAAAGGAAGACAATGAAGGACGGAGCCTGCAAGGAATGTGGGGAGGGGGACTGCAGCTGCAGGACCACCATGGAGACCTCCTTGGAGACAGATGTGGGGCAAAGAGACATAGACTGGAGCTGGTATGAGGGACGATCCTTCCTTCCTGCAGAGAAATGGGGTGCAGTTTTGGGAAGTGGAAGACACGGCCCCCACTGTGTAGCAGCTGGAATTCTGGAGACAATGGTGAAGGGTGAGCCACCAATCCCTCCACCCGACCCTCCCTCCTCTTACTGTGTCCCAAGCCATCACCTATGACAAAGAGAAAGACAATGATTTCCCAGCTGGAAATGATGTGTCCATGGTTCTGTATTTGGATCACTTAAAAAAATTTGTGGAGCCTAAAATGATATCACTGTAATAAGAACAAAAGGGCTTTTAGCTTCAATGGGGCATGTTGAACATGGCTGGCTCACAAGGATACAACTGCATGTAACTGAGAGAGCACCTTGGTCATTAATGAGAAGTGTGCACTGTGGTCCAAGGGTTGGCATTTTACAGGAGGCCCCAACTTTGCACTGCAAACTTCAAGAATGGCCTCGAGCTAGCACCAAGACAAACCCAAACCATGCCTGTCAGTGTGCATACATGAGCCCTAATGTCTCTTTCTACTCAACACCTCTGCTGTGGCTAAGAGTACTGGAAAAGAGAACAAGATTACAATCACTAATGACAATATGGTTCAGGAAGCTGAGAAGTACAAAGCTGAAGATGAGAGACAAGGACAAGGTGTCTTCTAAGAATTCAGTGGAATCCTATGCATCTAACATGAAAGCAACAGTTGAAGGTTGAAAAACTTCAAGGCAAGATCAATGATGAGGACAAACAGAGGATTCTTGGCAAGTGTAATGAAATTATCAACTGGCTTGATAAGAATTGGACGGCAGAGAAGGAAGAATTTGAACATCAGCAGAAAGAGCTGGAGAAAGTCTGCAACGCCACTGTTACCAAGCTGTACAGAGTTCCAGAGGCATGCCTGGAGGGATGCTGGGGGCTTCCCTGGTGGTGGAGCTCCTCCGTCTGGTGGTGCCTCTTCTGGCCCCACTACTGAAGAGGCTGATCAAGCCAATCTCTGAAAAGAGATAACTTTAGCATTGTTTCACAGGACAAAAAAAAAGAAAAAAATGAAGGACCCAAAATTATAGCACATTCAGCGACAGTTTTAAAAGTTAAACTAGTATATTAAATTTCTGGGCATTCTCTATACTTGAATATGGAATATGTGTATAGGCAAAGGAAGCAACCCTGCACTTTATTAGCACTGTATTGTAAGTGGAAAATGCAATGTCTTAAATAAAACTGTATTTAAAATTGGCACCAAAAAAATTAAGTATTTTGATTATGAGATGTGGCTATCTTGCCCATCTCCCTAGAAGCAGGAATGTTGCCTATGTTGCTCATGAGCTTCTCCGTGTTGTTTGATTCTGTACAGTCTAGCCAGAAACATCAAGTTGTTTCGAAGTAGCCAAGTGTGATTGTGAGCATTGGCTGTGTCATTAAAAGTTGTAATCTCGGGGGAAAAAAAAAAGGCTAAGCTCCAGACGTGGCTCTACCACGAGGCCGAGGACCCGCCCCTGCAGGCTAGGTGAAGGTGAGAGTCTCCTCCACCAATTTTATGGATCTTTGCCAAGACCTGGGCATGATCATAAGGAATGACACTGGTGGAAAAGAGCCTGGCTTTGGAGCCAAAGAGTCTTGAGATTGAGTCCCAGATGCACTATCCCATAACCTGGGCAAGTTCGTCAACCACTCAAGCCTCCACTTTCCCATGTGTGAAAAGGGGGATGGTAATGAAACTGCCCTACAAAGTGGTTGACGAGGCCTAAGGAAGGTAGCAAATGAACGCGTTTTGACAAGCGCCTGGCATATAACAGGTGATCAGGAAATGGTAGCTGTTTCCCTTTCCTCTCAAGAGGAAGAGCCTCCGCAGAGAGAGCAAGGTGGAGGGAGGGGGTCCTAGAGGCCCCTTGCTCCTGCAGGAGCAGACACTTAGCCTAGGACATATCCACGATCCGTGTGCACTGCTCGTCCAGCCCGGGGTGCACGGCTGACCATGGGGGCCAGGGGGCGGCATGACAAGCCTCCTGCTTGAGGCCGTTCCAGCACGGCACCACTCCTGACTCCCTCTGGTGACTGTCACCTGGGCTCTCACTTGCACCTGAAATGCCAGTGGAGAATGCCGGGGGTGCCTCACACTGGCCTTATCTGAAATTAACCTAGCACTGAAGAGGGGGTCAGAAGGGACAGACAGAGGGCCCTGGGGGTGGGGAGGGGATGCAGGCAAGTGAAAAGAAAAGGGGTTAGAGACAGGAGAAATGGAGCACTTTTCTGAAGACTGGCAACTGAGCTATTCAATTTGGAGAAGTCATCAAAAAAGAAAACCCAGCCTCAGACATTCACCGTAAGGGGCACTTGGAATGAGTCCTTTCTCTGGAACAAAGGAAACTGGACTTCAAGAACCTGTAGAGAAGCTGGCTAAGCATGGAGGATTTGAAGTTGGTGAGGAACAAGGAGGCCTCACGTCAGCTCGGAAGAGTGGGATGGCTGTCGGGTTCCTGCCATTAATTATCAGTGCAACCTTGTGTACCCCGCGGGAGATGGCCAGTTATGGCATGTCTGCCACTGGCCGGTAGACGTGGATTTAATAGAATGTGAAACTTTGGAGGAAAACTGAAAAGTGGGCCTTGTAAACCGTGATTATCTAATACTATCTGCACAATTATTAAAATAAACCACCTCAAACTATTTCAGCCATATTAGCACTGAGCTAATGAAGAAACGCACATCATAAAAAAGAATGAATTACCTACATAATAAACCTTGCCTCTTCCAGAATAAAGCCATTAGGAATTGATCAGCTAATTTTGGAACAGCAGGAGGCCACTGCTCTGATGAAAGCCCACTCCAGGAAAAAGGTCTAGAGACAGTTCTCAGCCACTAGCACTCGGGGGTCCCAGAGGCTGCCCCTGCCAGGAGGCACGTGGATGCCTGGGCAGAGGGGCTTCTTCAGGAAAGCTAGGGGACGTGGTGACAGGGCACTCCTGCGTGATGCCTGCAGTCTGCAGGAAGCCCAGAAGTTTTACATCAGCCAGGGCTGGGCAGAGTGGAATCTGGAAAGCAGAGCAGGACACAGTGATACCATGGTGTTTCCATTCCTCCCAGGGCCAATCAGCAGATGGCCAGGCGTTGGGAGATTTCCCATTCACACCCTTCAGATGATTACATTGATCCCTCCCCACTCCCACCAGCTGCACAGGCATGTGCACACACATATACACATACACACACACAACTCATACACAATCATAAATACACATACATACACAATACTAACACACATATACACACTCAAACACCTACACACTAACACTCACATGCACACTCATGTACTCTAACACCCACACCCACATGCACACACACACTACACACATACTCTAACACACACACATACACACACACACGTGTGCACACACACACTTAGACACACATGCAAACATATAGTCACACACACCCTCAACCTCCTGCAGAAAATGTGGCCTCTGTCCAACCTGCTGCTGATTCCTTTGCCCTCATCCCTCTGCACTCCATTTTCTGACCTGTTCAAACCTCTCTGGCCCGACTCCTGGCCCCTGACTGTTTTTTGCACACTGGCTGCCTCACTTCACCCCACAGACCTTGTGCTCAACTCTACTTCTCTCTGACTCTTGACTCCTGTGGACGCCAGTCTGGATCCTTCCCCTGGTTCCCACCTGCTCTAGATGAGCATCTTGCCCGGTCAAGCCCAACTCCCTGGCCCTCGCTTGGCACATGGGGCACTGGGTCGCACTCCAGCCCCACACATCAGAGTGGGGCCTGAAAGGTTAGCCCTGAGCTCTGCGGGGCAGAGGACTCAGCTTGGCGGCACCCCTCACCAGCAGAGGGGTCCTTACCTCATTCACAAAGACCCAGTGGCTGTCCTTGGAAGCCAGGTTGGTCTCCACAGCCTGTAGAGAGAAAGAGAGAACCAAGTGAGCAGAAGTAAGCCACAGGTTAGCCAACACGCAGGATGACTGCAGACAGGTTTTATAAACACTACTCTGGGAGAACGTGTCCCTAACAAAACATTTGCTTCATTTGCACACGGACATCTGGTTTCCTGCTGCTCTTCTGACTTCTGGAGCAGAAGCCTAGGGCAAGGCAGAGACTTCAGCTCACAGGGCCACCTGAGGTGCATCTCACCTCCTGGCTGCCTGGTCCCTCCCTGAAGAAAGCCTACAAACACCTCTTCTGGAGGGGCAGTCAGAGGGGGAGGGTCCTCACAGTCTGAGCTAGAGGGCAGGAAACCAGAAGGTGGTGGGATTGATGGCGGCTTGTCCAGCCACGAGGAATGACACCAGGAAGACAGAGGCTTACAGTCAGGCTTGGAGCTGCCTTCAGTTCTGTAGGAGCAAGATGCACAGAACTAGGTTTGTTTCAACTCCTGGACAGTGACCTCCTGCCATGATGTTCTTTCACAGCACGCATGCACATACACACCCAAACACACATACTTCATAGTATGTACCACACTTGCACTAGAGTACCAAAAACAAAAAAACCATTGCTGTCGAGTCGATTCTGCCAGAGTAGAACTGTGCTCCATAGAGGTTTTCGGAAGTAGATCCCCAGGCCTTTCTTCCTAGGTGCCTCTGGGTGGACTCAAACTTCCAACTTTTCAGTTAGCAGCCAAGGGTGTCGACCGTTTGCACCACCCGAGGACTCGCTGTGCTAGTTGCCAGTTTATTCATCTTTCATTGTCTCTCTCCTCCACCAGCTGTTGGCTCCATGAGGTCAGGAGCCATGTCTGTTTGGGTCATGGTTGTGTCCCAGAACCTTACACTCTACCCAGCAGTTGGAGCTGAGTCAAGTCTGAACCACGGTGACTCCGTGTGTGTCAGAGTAGAACTACATTCCGTAGGGCTTTCAGTGGCTGATTTTTTGGGAGTAGACCACCAGGTATTTCTTCAAGGCACCTCTGGGTGGACTCAAACCTTCACCCTTTTGGTCAGCAGCAGAGCACGTTAATTGTCTGCACCACCCAGGGACTCCCAGCACATAGTAGGTGCTCTATAAACATTGTTGAATATAAGTATTGGAGGCCAAGGCATATAGGACCCAATGACTTATTTCTGGTTTTGTTGGTTTTTTGGAGTGCTTTTCCCTCCTTCAGTTGGAAAGACCATAGATTTGAGGACATGGAAGGGCTTCATGGATCCTGGCATGTCCTGTAAGGAACACTCACAGTTAACATGTGCCAAGTGCTCACTGAGCAACAGACACCATGCCAGGCCATGTATGTACCTGTGAGGGAGTCATCGAATCATAGTCTATTTTTTATTTTTTGTAATGTAATTTTTGTTACTCTTTTTATTTGAAAAAATACAGAAAAATAAAATTGTTTGGAATCATTCCATAATCCCACCCCATTTTTAAAAATCTGATAAAGTAGGGAAGACACCCCCACTTATTCCTCCGAATTCATCCCCCAGGGGTCACCAGAGGTGTCCCCTTCCATAAGCCTCCCTGTGCTTTCATGGTCACATCTGTAAGTGCATATCTACACGCACATAGCAGGAAGGAATTTTTATTAAAATGAGATCATAAAATACACATCAGGTTGTAACTGTAATTTTTTTACTAATCTACATATCAGGAAGGAGCAATAGTGGTTCAGTAGTAGAATTCTTGCCTTCCATGCAGGAGAACCAGGTTCAATTCCCAGCCAACACACCTCATGCACAGCCACCACCCATCTGTCAGTGAAGGCTTCTGTTTCTATGATCCTGAACAGGTTTCAGTGGAGTTTCCAGACTAAGACAAACTAGAAAGAAAGGCCTAGAAATCTACTTCCGAAAATAGCCAATGAAAACTCTACAGATCACAATGGAACTGATCCACAATCCGTCATGGGGATGGTGCAGAACCAGGTTGCATTTCATTCCAATGTGCATGGAGTCGCCACGGGTCAGGAGCCGACTCAACAGCAGCTAACAACAACACATACCAAGAATTTCTTTCCAGGTCAGTTCATAGAGCTGACTCATTCTTCCTGACAAATGAGGCTGAGAAGGAAAAATGGGCTGCACACAACCTAGCCAGTGTGTGGCTAAGCGTTAGGAAGCATGTGGAATAGAGCCAGTAGGAATACCCAGGTGAACCCTAGCATCTCAGTCCTTTACAGACATCACCCCACAGGACACAGACTGCACATGACGGCCTTTTCTGAGCCAGGCTAGGGTGAGCACCCAGACTCCGGCCTCTCTACCCTATGAACGAGAGGGTACCATCCCTGAGAAGAGACAAACAGGGCTCGGAGCCTGGAGTGGGGTGGGACAACTCCACCCCACTGCCATTTCACCTCCCGTCTCGGTCTGCTCACCTGGAAAGTGAAGACAGCACTTGCCCCTGGCCTCCATCTGCCAACGTATGTGAAACATTTTAAGGTCTTGTCTCAAGAAGAGACAAACACACAGAACGGAATTCGAACAAGTCCCAAGCCTTTCCCAAGAAGCAGAGAGGGGAATTTTGTCTTCCCAACCCTTCATGAGTTCCACCCTTGTTCCTGGTGCTAGCTTGGATGCTGAAAGGGAGTCTTCTCTCTCCTGCTATACAAGTCCTCCTTCCTGACATTTCTCTTAATGAGCCACATCCCCACAATCCCTCTCTTCTCCAAGGAAACTGATATGTTTAACACCACAGCTGGCTCCCCTACCTCAGGAAGAAGGTTCCAGGTGGTATCTCCACAGGATGCCAAGCTACATGTCTGGTAGTTGGTGGTGCTTTGTCCTGAGGACACCTTCCACCCCATTCTACACACTCAGTAACCCAGGTCCTCTCCACAGAAGCCACAAGGACTCAAGAGCCAGCAATCTCTGATGAGCCCAGGGATGAGGCGAGAAGGGAGAGCACCTTGGGATGGAAACACAGCATGCTGCCCAGCACAGAATCTCTTGCCTCAGCACACAAACGTCCATACTGAGGCCCCTGATAGGGAGGCAACGGAGGGAGACATGAAGAATGGATGGATGGAGAACATTCTGCAGTACAGGGCTGGGCTCTGGCTCACCTTGACTCTCGGCAGTTCAGCATTTTTTTAGTACTCATGTGGAGGACGTTGGTGACACACTGATAAAATATGCACATGACACAGAGCCAGAAGAATGTCATATGATGGATCGAAATAAGATCTCAGAAGGCTGGCACTCTGAACTGAGTCTAAAGAGATGCAGTTTAACAAGGTGAACTCCAAGTCCTGCACTTGGTTTTCCCCAGAAGGGCAAATGGGGAGATGAACCTTGAGATGACTCAGGGGAAGGCGCAGGGGTGGGGGTCTCTTCTGTCCCTCGAGAGGTCGATCTTACTGGGTCACCCCTCTTGATGAACGACACAGTAGACTGGAGCTTGGCTCCTGGAGAACGGTGTAAATAGGTAGCAGGTTAAAGTGACAAAGAATGCATAGAACCTGAGACATTGTGGTTAGCTGCTGTCAAGTGAGCTCAAACTCAACATCCCCATGTGCAAAAGAACTGAACATTGCCCAGTTCTGGGTCATCTTCAAGATTGTTGGTATGGAGGTTCCAGCAAAATGGTGCTCTAGGCAGAAGCACCACGCCGTCCCGCCACAGCAAAGATCCGAAAAACTAAGCCGAACAGAGAATACAACAATCCTGAAACCCTAAAACATCAAATGAAGAGATAAAGAACTCAGCCAAGCACCAAATGGAGTGAGAAAACTGATAGAGAACAGAGAGCGAGGAGAGATTTATGCAGAGGTCCCCCACCAGCTAACGCAGAGCGGATCCGCCATCTTGGACTCCTATCAGAGACCAGCAAACAGGGGAGACGAGAAAGCAGCCTCACAGAGCGTCCAGCGGGACACAAAACAACCGGTAATTTGAGATATACGCTTTCCCACCACCCACCCTTCTTCACCCCGACTCGGCCTCCTCTGCTTCCCGCAGCCACAACCTCTTGACTGGGAAACACCAGCTGCTTGGATTCCACATACCGAACGGGCCGGCTCTCAGTGCCATTTGTTGGCTGCTGGTGTTGCCTTTTTCCGCTTCTTTTGATTTCTTCCTTACCTCTCACCACCTCCCACTTTCGCTCAAATACCTGGCTCCGTGTGCCATCTTTGCTTCTTCCTCAGGGGCTGCAGAGCTCCGGTAATTTGTGATATACACTTTCCCACTCCCTACCCTTCTTCACCCACACTCAGCACCTTCTGCTTCCTGCAGACACAGTCTCTTGTCTGAGAAACACCAGCCCGCACTAGCTGGCTCTCTGAGTGCCATTTGCTGGCTGCTAATGTTGTTTTTTTTCCCTGCTTCTTTTGATTTCTTCCTTACCTCTCGCCACCTCCCCTCCTTTTGCTCAAATACCTGACTCCGTGCACCATCTTTGCTTCTTCCTAAGGGGCTATGGAGCTCCGTTCGACTGTGGAGCTGCTGCCCAGTCTGGGCTGCCACGCTGGTGGGATCCCAGGGCTTTTGTCCATTTGTTTATTTTGAATTTTTTGTTTGTTTTCTTTTCTTTTTCTTGAGTTGGGAGCCCTTTCTGTCCAGGCGGTGGGGCATGGCAAAGAGACTTCCCACTCAGCTTGTACAGACGTGCAGAGGGATCCCTGACAGCATTTCTTTTCTCGTTGCGCTTTTTTTTTTCCTGTTTTTTTGGGGGCCTCTCTTGTTTTTTTTTTTTTAATTAGTTTTCTTTTCCCTCTTTTTCCCTTTTTGTCTTTCTTCATTGCTCAGTTTCTCATCTCTCTATATCTTCCTTCTCTTTCTGATCCCTGAATACCAGGTGTTGTCTACCTCTATGCCTTCTAGCCAGGCTGTACTGCAACATCTCAGAGTGACTTCCCCAGACCTCATAGCTGCACCGGTGGGATCCCTGGGAAC